CCGCTTCGTTTTTTGTTTTTTTCTACTTACATTCCTATTCAAAAATTTTTTCATTTTAGATTACCCCTTTATAAATAGAGCTGTCGCACACAGTGAGATCCAGTTGTGGTGCTGAATAGGAATGTATGTGTGATTTAATGGACCGGAGATTTTGTCCAATTATTTTAATAATTTTGATGAAACAAAAATTCTTTGTTTTATTCAATTATTTTAATTTTAAATCATTTAATAATTTGTTTAATAATTTTTAATTTTTTGCCAATTTTTAAATTTAATTTTATATGTGTCGTCATAAAATCTTCACTAACATGATAGTAAATTGGTAATCATATAAGCCTTAACTCAACACCGCGCGACAAGATCTCGTCAGTATGACGGTCGCAGTACCTAATAGGAAAGGAAAAAGAAAGAGGAAAGGAAAAAACAAAAAGGGAAACGATATGATTGTGGGATTAGAAAGATTGAGAGTGGGGTGATAAAAGATCTTAAAAAAAAGGAAGGAGGAAAAAGGATTTTAAAAAAGAGAAACTTTTTTGTTTTTTAAAAAAAGTTATTTTTTAGAGATTAAAAATCTTAAAAAAAGAGATTTAAAAAAGATCGATGTCGATCCTCGATCATGGAGGTTTTATTAGAAGTGGCGATTTTTCAGGAATTAGAAGTACTGCTGAAGGATTCAGCGCCCGGTCAAGTGCGCAGTGGAGGTACAGTGAAGAAATCGCTGTGGACACGTTCCGTGGAATCGGCTTTCGAATTCCATCGAATTGTCGAAGACATTTATCCGGACGGTGTACGATTGATCCGTTTTGTGGTATCCGATTTTGTTGGTCGTTTCCTGACACCAAACTGGGGCGCAAAACTCATTTCACTGGATGAGGTAAGGTAAATTTCCTTCGATTTTTTTTCTGTAATCAAAATTATTTTGACTTTTTTCAAGTAAATCTTAGATGAGCCAAATTAGTAGTGGACTAATCACATTACATGAATCATCACAGTAAAAATGATAATTTTGAATAACCATTATTTTCTTTGAAACTTTGAACAGCTATTTTTCCGTCATTGCGCTTTTTTACCATTGATGCAGCGCTGGCAACTTCTCCATTCTTCTCTTATTTTGGACTTTCTCATCCACATAATTTTGGGTAGTTGCCAAAGCGGATCCCTTCATCGCATTGGTCCGGGGCTTTTTTTCCTGCTTTTTCTGAAGGAGTATAAGCTTAGTGATTCCGCTGAAGCATTCGGTAAGGTTTTAGCTGTTCCAAGGTAACATTGCTATTTTTCGGATTTTGACAAATCTCTAGAAGAATAAGTGATTGAGAAAGCTGGCCAGGAGTTTGTATTTCAGTGAATATTAGTTTTTCTTTTTTTTTCAGTTATTGAAATCATTTGGTGTATGCGGTATTCCGGATCCAGAAGCCGATCTGTCGTCCTGTTCGATAATCAATGGCATTTCGATGGCTGTCGAAGCGATCAGTGAGTTAACCGAATTGCAAAAGAAACAGGTCGAGCTGAATTCGGGCATCGATGGATTCCGAAAACGTCGTCGTGATGTATCACCAGGCGAAGAAACCGAAGTTCTGAAACCGCCGATTGTCGGTTCCGAAGCACCAGGCGAAGAAGAACGGGATTTGCGCCATGAAAGATTCCCGGTATTTTTTTTTGATTTTCGTTTTTTTGCTTTTTATAAACCAAAACGCGCTTTTTTTTGAGAATTAAGAAATTTTAGGAACGATATGAAAAATTGGCATCACTAGTGGAACGTGAAAGGAATGAAATTTATGAGCTAACACTGGAAAATGCTACGAAAAAAGTCTCACCAAATTCCGGGACCATCGTTGTGTTCACATCCACAAAAACGTTCGTCATTTACGAATTTGAATTACTTTTAAGCGCAAAACTGAGCAAATAAGGGAGCCCGGAAGGTGAACTTAGCCTCCTGATTTGAAGCCACTCTCGAGAGAATTCAAGGAAGCAAGCTTGAGGCGTTTAAGGCATCCTGGCCTCCAGAAAACGGTTGTAGTCCAACTTAATCAGCCACTAGCGGATAAAGCAGAGCCAGTTTGAGAGGACTTCGAATTAGCATCTGTACTTTTTTATGCATTTTTTGCATCTATGCAATGCAAAAACTCATATTGTTGAAAAGTTGACTGTGCGTGTGTGTGTGTCTGTGTCTGTGTCTGCATGTGCGTCTGTACCAATTTTTCATCTCGAGATCTACAAAAGCCGCAAGGCTGAAAGTTTGTGAACTTCATCTACGTGCATTTGTGGGTCCCTATCCCCAAAATGGACACTCTTGCCCATGTGATCCCCAGGTACAGGCCCGTGAAAATTTTTGGCAGGTAAATTATTAACATGGGAACCGGGAAAACTAGAAAGCTGTGTTTTTGAAGGGATGTTCTCTGGCCAGGTAGAATTTAATGAGTACAAACTCAACTCCCAGGTGAGCGTGTTCCTCACGTACGGGCCCGTGAAAATTTTTGACTGGTAAATTACTAACTCGGAACCGGAAAAACTAGAAAATTGAAATTTTTTTATAGTTTTTTCTCACGACCGTGGTGGGGAGTCTCAATTTTTTTTGCTAAGAAACATCTGCCGGAAAAAAACAGTGCTGTTCAGCGACAAAAACCTGCGGAGAACTATGCAAAAAACGCATCTTCGCGCCGGCAGTCGGTGCGCTAGGCAATTATTTTGAAGGGTGAAGAGAAGGTAAGAGGAAAGGGGAAGGCGGAAGGCGTATTTCATAATGTTGTGGAGGGTCACAGTATCATAAACTGCTGTTAATGGATGCAAGAGGTTTTGAAGGCAAAAAAATAGAGGTATAACTGTTGTGCATATTTGCAGGCTGCGGGAGGCAGCACCATGGAATTGTCTGCAATTCTTGCATAAATCCAGTCGAACTTATTTGCCCTCAGCTTCCCTAAGCATAAGCTTTAATAAATTCTGTCGAACTTATTTGACGAATTGTGCACATAATCAATGATTATCGGCTTAATTGGGAAAAGGAGGAAAACAATATAAGTTACCAATGTTCCCTGATAAGCAGTTCCCACAGCGAAAATGATTTTTGTGGATTTTTTTTTGATGTTTCAGTGATGACGACATTGCTCTGCTTGCCAAGCACATCAGTGAAGTTATTAGCAGCCGTAATAAAATGTTGAAATCGTTGGACGGTGACAAAAAGTAAGTTTCGGAGAGAAGCTTTATTTGTACATTTTTATCATATTTCTTAAATTTCAACTTAATATGGCTTAATTTTGGCCCCATTATCAGTGATTGAATTAATCTTATGGATAAATTTGATTGTTGTTAAAAAC